CGAGACATTTTGTTTACGTTGACCATCTGCAGGAACTGCACCCTGCAGCTTCCAGTGGCCGCAGTTTGCCATTCCTGGCCAATGGCAGCTGCAAAAAGCGGTGGCCAGCATATCTCTGCGGCCTGCGCCACTTCCCACAGCTCCCATTGGCCAGGAACGGCGAACCATGGCCACTGAGAGCTGCGGGGGAGCCATTCCCGCAGATGATCAACGTAAACAAAATGTCTCGCAGCCCACCAGCAGATTACCCTGATGGGCCCCGTGCTGAAGGTTGCCGACCCCTGCCTTAGTAATACACTGCATTCCTTCAGTGCGCTTCTTCTTTGCTTGCTCACCCTTCCCTACATTCCATTTGGTACATTATGTTCCATTAATTCTGCAATTTTTATTTCCCAAACCTTGCTCTATTAAAACCTACTGCCACAGAAAGAAATGAAAGCAGGTTATTGCACCTGCAGCTATGGAAAAGTTTGCATAATAAAAGCATGGCAGCTACACTGAAGCTAAACAAAAGAGGGAGAAATTTTCAGAAAGCAATATTACTTTATTGTTAAAGTGCAGATACATTTTAAAATCCAAATCACTGTTAAAACAGTCTGTGTGACCATGTATGATATAGATTATGTCACTGTACTTGAAACAAAGTTTCTGATGTGCCTTAAACTGTGAAAATAAAAACGGGCTCTTAGCCATGACAGCTATTCTCTTCCTTAGTTTCATGGTTTCTTTTCCCTATTTCTAGATCCGTTTTTCTAAACTTCTTTCAGCATATAAAAAGTAGTCTTGGTTTGAAGTCTAGAGACTCAAGTTTCCGGAATCCTACAAGAGGATGTTACAAGCTACAAGAGAATGTTAAAACTTTTGGTTCACAGATTACAACTGCTTGGCATTGCTGAAAGAAAGGAATATGTTAGCATATGAAGACATAAGTAGATTGTCAACTTCTCAATAACTTGAGAGAGACTGATGCAAAGGAGGAGGTCTGAAGAACAAAGAGCCTTGACCAGTTCTAAATTTAATTTGTCCAATTTTTTCTGCTCTGTTCATGTCTTCGTTCTAGAAGAACTTGCTTCAATTGTAGCACAGGGTTGATGTGAATGGTGAAATACTCCATACTTATGCATCCCATCTCATACGCTCTTTAGTTTATTATTGTTATTTTACATTGTAAAGATATGAAGTTGACAAGGGCATACTATGATAAACAATACTCTTAGGCAGTCCCTATTCTTACAGATTTCTGTGGTGGTTGTGATATGTAGTATGAGGTATGTTGGAACACCAGTGAAAAAAGGAGACAGCTAGAAGCAGTGGGGGATGAACATTTAAAACCTAAAGCAAATCACCATATACCTTGCTGAACTATCCTCCCCTGTCTTAAAACAAGGCAGCTCTCATATCCAGTTGAAGTGAAATAGGCTTTTGTTTACAGTTAACGTTTAAGACCTAAGGACAGTATAAGTTTCTTTTTAATTATTTTACATAGTGACCATTTAAAATTTGACCTAATTTTTACTTCTCCTCACCAAACTGTGTCTGAATCACTCCTAGACCATTTAATGAGTTGATCTGGCTTTGAGTATCAAGCTCTTTTGGCCTTGCGTGCGGGAGGCACATAACCCAGAGAGGGATAGGGAGTAGATGCATGAACATCTATTGTTGCTTTTCAACAATTTCCTTATACCTGACAAGTGGAGCTGTACAAATACTGGAAAAGAATAGCATTCTGATTTCCTCTGCTGAATTGTGATAACTGATGCAAGATCATTGAGGAAGGAAGTAGGTGAGAAGCCTAGAGTACCCTATGAGAAAGGAAGCCTAGCTTTTCTGAAAGTGTATTCCACAGCGTAAAAGTTTCAGTATAGCAACAGGAAGAGACTCTAAAATACATTTACTGGCAGCTTGCATTCTCTTACGGAGTCCTGGATATTTAGTTATAATTTTTAGAGCTCATTCTAAATCAAGTGAAATTTACCTATCATACCCCCAACCCCACCCCACCCCCAAGAGTGAAAAAATAAATCCCAGTTTCAAAATAAAGAAACCTAACAAAATATATAAAAAGCAACCTATTCCAGTACATAATACTTTAATGGATTTGCCAATTGCTTGAAGGATGTGTCAAAATAAGGCACAGAGTTATTCCTTGCAATTAGCATATTATCTCACACAGAATTACTACATATTTAACAGGACACCATATTTGTATTACTGCCAATGGTAAAGTAGACTTATTAGAATAAAAAATAATTCGAGTTGTTGAAACAAGTGCTTTCCTAATAAAATGGTTAAAAGGGTATCAAAAATTACATTCAGTAGGTTAGAAGAAAATAAGAAGGAACTTATTACATCAGGAACAAAACAAATCCTAGTGGTGTTATAGGTACATTACTAGACAAGGATGCTAAAATTGTCAGTGACAGATACGGCAGAAGGATTCAAAAATGTTTTGTTCTGTATGCAGAATCAAGTGGAGGACGTTCACATGATAATGAAATACTTTCTACTTCAACTGTAATTAGGATGTTTAAATTCACAATTGCTCTTCAGCATTTTTAAGTCTGCAGATAATTGGCACCTCAGGATTTTTAGAAGAATTGGCTGAGAGGTTTGCGATGTTGATATTTAACAAAATCCAGTGGCCTGAATAAAAAGCTAATATGCTAGTATTTATAAAAAGGTAAATAAGATGACCTGGGTAAATCTAGGGCGCTTAGCTTGACCATGATCCAAGACAAAATCATAGAAAGGCCAATACAGGATGCCATCAGTGCAGAATTAAAGCATGGCTGCATAATTTTTTTTCCAGACAATATATTTTTATGAAAAAGATAAAAATAAATAAATCAAGTTTGGCCTAAGAGGAGATTAAAGTTTGGTTGATAAAGACATAGAAATCTATATATCGTCAACCTAACAGGTATTTTACTTGATACCACATGGCACTAATTAAAAATTAATACTATACAAAAACCAATGTAGCTCATATTTAATCTGTTACTAGGATGGCTAGATAAAGAAATAACTGTAAATGAGTAAACTTCATTCATTGAGGGCATTTTTAATGGGGACCTACTGCCATCTGTTTTGGACTCAGTGCTATTCCACACCTACATCTGGTTTTCTTCCAGATCATTGATAATTGCCAATAAAATCCACAGATGATAAAAACTGTGGAACAGACAACCTGGACAACTCAGTTCTATACACTGAATTCAAATGCATGGTAAGCTGGACTCACTTGAACATACATTTTAACATAGTTAATGCAAGGTCATACTTCTAGGAACCAAGAATGTAGGTCACACTTATAGGGCTTGGAGAATGGACAAATATATTCAGAATATAGAAAAGGACTTATGGTCATAGTGGATAGCCAACTAAGCATGAGCTCCAGTGCAATGCAATGGCTAAGAGGAAACGCATCCCTTGGATGTACAAGAGGGAATATTGAGAAGTAAGGAGGTATTATTACCCCCTATAGATGGTATTAAGATTATTACTGGAATACTGTGTGCAGTTCTGTTATCCATGCTTTAAAAAGAAAGTGGATACATTGGAAAAAAGTTCAGAAAATTATTACAAAAATGACTTTATTTTTAGAAAACCAGCTTTAGCAAAGAAGATGAAAAAAAGCTTCATCTATGCAGGTTAACCAAGAGAAGATTAAGAGGTAACTTGATCATGGTCTGTAAGTATCTACATAGAAGGGACAATCGTGAATTTGTCTAACTCTGGCTCCCAACCACTGTATCTTGTTATATCTTTAACACAGAGGGGAATTAACCACTGGGACAACTTATGTAGTGATGTGGCAGATTCTCCATCACTCAAAGTCTTTGGATCAGGATTTGATGTCTTTAAAAAGGATATGCTCTAATTTAACCAGAAGTTATAGGCTTCATGCAGGAATAACTAGGTGACATTCTACAGCATGTATTATGTAGAAAGAAGGTTAGGCGAATTGATCATAGTTTTCTTTTCTCGCCTTAAGATCTTTGAAAATAGTGGTTAATATGGAAAATTTTAGAGCTAGAAGATCCACAAGAGTTGCTGCTCTAAGAGTTAAAAAATCAGAGCAAATACAGACCAGATATATAAATACATTGCCCAAGACGCCTTTTCTTCCTTAGAAGTTTCAGAGAGAATTTGAGTCCATGAAGTGTTTCGGATATAGAGTAGCATTAGCCCAAACTGAAATTTTTTTAAGATTTTGCATACCATGGCTATGCTGATATGGCTGTTACCATCAGCAGTTTTGTTCACCTGGAAGTATTTCAGGAAATAGTGTTTTCAAAATTTAGGACTCCTAGGATTGTTAATACACTTACAGGCCAACTAAAAATATCACCACTCACTGAGCAAGGGCAGATTAAGAAATCCAAGTAGTAATAGTGCCAATATTTTAGAATTTTCATGGTGCCTTTCTTCTACAGATCTCACTTGTCTGCAGGGAAAACTGTTATGTGACTGGGGGTAAGTCACTTATCAAGTCACGGGCAGAGCTACTGGTATAGATTAGAACACTGGTCTTTTGACCCCTATCCCTATGCCCCATCCCTATCAGTACACCACCAGGCTGTTCGAGGCTCCCCCACCCCACCATCTCCTTCCCAGCTGTTCCCTCCCACTCTCTGGGCTACACACTCTGGCTCCCCTATAGGATGTGCACATCCACTCCTAGAAGATTCTTCACTGCAAAGAGCCTACAACCCGGGGGGAGGGATAGCTCAGTGGTTTGAGCATTGGCCTGCTAAACCTAGGGGTTGTGAGTTCAATCCTTGAGGGGGCCATTTAGGGATATGGGGCAAAAATTTGTTGGATGATTTAATTGGGGATTGGTCCTGCTTTGAGCAGGGGGTTGGACTAGATGATCTCCTGAGGACCCTTCCAACCCTGATATTCTATGATTCTATAACAGTAGGGAAAGACAAGTTTCAGTTCAGCTGCCAATCTAAGAGTGAGATTAAAAGGAAGAGTAAAACAAACAGGTACTTTACCTCCCCATGAAGTTGCTCCTGCTGCAGCAGTTGGAGCTGCTTGCCCAGTAGATGTGAAATCTGGCTGAAGATCTAGAAGATCACTGGATGGTTTGGAAGTGCTATGGGGGGGATGGGGGGAGGGAAGAAAAACCAAATCTGTAGGATTACAGACATTTGTATAATTCTGCAAAGTAAAAGCTGTTTCATGTTATGCTGGAGTGTAAATGTTGTGAACAAGATTAGGGTATCTGTCAAACCACTGTAAAGCAAGTATTTTTCTGGATCAGAACCTAATCCTTCAGAAGCTACTAAATGCATTTAAACACGCATTTAGCTCAATAAATGCTGAAGGTATTCAGCACTTGGAGAGAGGACATCGTTGTTCCTAACCACTTATTTATATTAGTGGACACTGATACTGTTCTGTCTCTCCAGAGGACACAATTGAACAGCAATGATACTGTAGGACAAAGCACAATAGAGGAAATACTACTGCAGAATTTCTAAAAGGAAAATCAAAACCCTTTTAGGACCAATGGGAATGGAGCTCTGTTTTCAGTCACAGCAACCATCTTCCAAAATATTTTTGTCCACTAGGTCAGAAAACTATAGACCTATGCATCAGGTACTGAACAGGCAACAGGAAAAAAGTTCATATCAAGGGCTCATTTTAGAACTTTATCACAAACGAATCACATTTCAGTACCTCACCCTTCAAAAGAATGAAGTGAAAAAAGTAAGTTAATTTTGGTTCATCATGTCTATTTATATGTGAAGATTAATATTTAAGGTTAAAGTAGAAATAAAAATCAATAAATTAAGTTAACACTATTTCCATTAACATGTATATGGGGGAGGGATAGCTCAGTGACTTGAGCATTGGCCTGCTAAACAGAGGGTTGAGAGTTCAATCCTTGAGGGAGCCATTTAGGGATCGGGGGCAAAAATCTGTCTGGAGATTGGTCCTGCTTTGGAGCAGGGGGTTGGACTAGATGGCCTCCTGAGATCCCTTCCAACCCTGATATTCTATGATTCTAGTCAAACAGAACTTGCTTGTTTATATGAAGTAGCAGTGCTTAATGGTTGTGATATTGGATACTGCCCAAAGTAGCTACGGAACTAATTTCAGTTTTCTTGGAATTAGTCATATAAATCTAGTGTTTGTACAACTGTAATGCTGTACCATTCCACAAATATGCTATGCATTCAGTGTTAAGTAAACTAAAAATCGTGAATGAGTCCAGTGACAAACTGTAGAGCTGTAACTGGTATACTCCAGAGATCTGGAATTTGTATAGCAGGCACAGCATTTCTCAGAACTATGGAACATGGTTAGCTTTTAAAATCCACAATGTGAAATGGGGAAAGGGTCTGTAGGCAATACATGAAAACAGTTCACGATTAACATATTGCAGAACTCACCTGACAGGAGCGGCTGTAGATGAAGTTGCAAAGAGATCAACTGGTGGAGAAGTATCAATACTTTTTGCTGGGGTAGAATTAGGAGATGTAACAGTTGTGGCTGGAGAAGACTGGAGACAAAAAGTCAAAATACATAATCACTCAAAAAGGTGGTGCCATCATCAATATATAGACTAGCATAGGCTTTCAAGTCTACCTTACAAACTAATATTACCTCTAATACAAAATTTTTTTTCCAGTGAATAAAAATTAATCTGGGGACAACACACAAAAAATCAAGTCTCCATACAGAATGCACGTCTTTTTACTTCAAAGGCTGAACAGCATAAATATTCTTAAATAAGACATGCTTTAATGGACTAGCAAATTTGAAAAAGCCACACAAGTACAAAACGCTACTTAACTAATTGCGTGCTCTGTTTATGGCAGGGGTCGGCAACCTTTCAGAAGCGGTGTGCCGGGTCTTCATTTATTCACTCTAATTTAAGGTTTCGCGTGCCAGTAATACATTTTAACGTTTTTAGAAGGTCTCTTTCTATAAGTCTATAATATATACCGTAACTAAACTATTGTTGTATGTAAAGTAAATAAGGTTTTAAAAATGTTTAAGAAGCTTCATTTAAAATTAAATTGTAGAGCCCCCCGGACTGGTGGCCAGGACCCGGGCAGTGTGAGTGCCACTGAAAATCAGCTTGCGTGCTGCCTTCAGCACATGTGCCATAGGTTGCCTACCCCTGGTTTATGGGATCCTTTACTTGCATGGGGAATGTCTGGTCACTGGGTAAGCTTCTTAAACCCTGCCTTTCCAAAGGCTCAAATCCCAACTTCTCTCTTTTTTTGGAGATGCAAGTTATTCACCCTATGCATTTAGTTTCAGTGAAATTGAGAAAAGAAAAAATGGTCAGCTATAAAAAAAATAGATATTATGTGGCTTCTTTCTTTGTACTAGCCATGTTTGCATGTTTGTACATCACTACTTTCCACTGCATACCCTCCAACCTGAGAAGCTTGATAAAGCAGTTTAAAAGAAAATACTTTACTTCAGTTCATGAAATGTTACAACAGACCCAAGATTACGATTTGTTAAAACAACTTATTACAGGCAACTATCTCCATAATAATGAATGGTATCATTAGGAGATACCTACTCTTAGGTGCAACATCCAAATGCTGTCTGTGGCTCTTACGGCTAAAGTTTGTAGTCTCAAATTTCTTTACCCTGATAGGGATCGACCGTTTTCCACCATCCACCTTTAAGAAGATCCCACACTAAGTCTCACGCTGGTGTTGGAGGTTATTTTTGCTATATACATCTAGGGAAAGAAATTTGCTCTTCCTCAATTTCTGTCCCATCAATCCTCCAACTTTTATACGATTCTAGTTCTCCACCCACTAAAATGTGTTAAACAGAAAACATGGTAACTGTTGGCACTTTTTTCTGCATTTATTTTCTTGTCAGAAATACCCTTTTTTGGAGAGAGGATTCTGTTTAGATACTGTACTGTTACACTTTGAATCACTGCATAGCATCTCAAGTGTCTTGTCTGGGTGGAGGTAGAGGGTAAAGGGAACAAGAATAATGAAGAGTTAACAATCGGAGGCTAATTAGTTAATGCGTAAAATGCTCTGAAGAAGAGAAGTGCCAGTATCACCAATCAGGGAATCACATGGTAGTTCCCTGGAAAAGTAATCTCTGGGGAAAAACAGCTCAACTGAGAAATTCTGTCAAGAAAAATATTGGGAACATAAAGCAAATCAAATATATTATTGTACATTCAGACAACAATTACAGACAAGCAAGTTCTTTCTTTGATGGTACTTTGGATAGATCAACATGGCCATATCAACACGTCTCCTCAAGGCTAGGAGCATGGGTTATGTTTAAGAATTTTGAAGTGAGACTTCCCGTGGGAAGAGAGATATTACCCTTTCATAAGAGTATTAAAAGCAGAACAGCAAGAAAACATGCAAGGGATTTGGGGTTATTTAGGAAGTGGGGAAGTATACTCATGGTAAAAACGGTAATCCAGTTTATGGGGCTGGAGAAGAAAATTAGGAATGAAGATACTGTGCCGCCTCCTCCTCAGTCTGAAAGTTAGAGGGTAGAGAAATCAGCATGATCCAGGAACAAGCTTCCAAATGGTGTGAGAGAGAGGTTTAGATTAAATCCTACATAATGGATAATGCAAGAACGTGGGGGAGGGTACAATAGTCAACTCCATCTCAAAAATAGGTCAAGTTGTGTGTAAAATGAAGTGTCAGCTCCAAAACCTTGGACTCCCACAGAGCTGCTCTGCAGGATTTTATGGGCAATTTGAAAAGCTTTATACCAGCAGCAGTTCCTTTTAAATATTTAAACTGTTACTGATGTGTTGTAACGCTAACTGGTATCAAAATATAACTAATGCTGTGAGAACAGACCAAAAACCTAACTATAGCTTTGTTAACCTCTCTGTACTGTCAGGGAAGCCCATAGTTCAGTTGTGCACCCCTACAAGAAGTCACTTTTGAGGAAGCTGCCCTCATTTGACAAATTGCAAACATTAAGCTACACCATGAAAGTAGGTTTCAAGACTGCTGCATTTATCAATTGTAACTACAACCACGTATTCAGAGTAACAGAATCAAAGACTCAGGCCACTCTTCAGTTCTGCAAGGTGAATTACTGAGTGAAGAAGTCAGTCCAGCGGTTAGCAGTGTAGGTACTTAAAAGCACTAAAGATCTTCCCATCAGAATAATCTGGAATTACTGTCTGGGGCACTGAGTCATGCATCCCCTTGACTGGGGCTTGTTATTGTATTCTGCAATCACAAGTAATGAAGACTGAAGACAATAGTACACGGTTGTAACCCAATATCACCTTAATGCCAGCAGGCAAGGGGGTTACAGGAAATTCCCAATTCTTGTATGTACATTCTGGTTCGCCACAGAACGCCATGTGAGGTCTTAAATAAAAGCTGGGGTCACACTGGTTTTTAGTATCATTGTGAAATGTACCTACAGATACTTTGTAAAGAGTTACGCACATAAATAATGAAATACGTCCTTAGAGTCTGTGTCAAGGCATGAGTCATCAGCAGAGGCGGAGAAACAGGTTTTCTGGCAGACATAGAATGTTTATTCATCTCTTGGATGTACACTAAGCATTGTAAGCTAAACTGGATGCCTATTTACATATGAACGCATTGAAGAAATGTGGAGTCAACAAGGCAGCAGCACACAGGAAAAACTAACCATGGGAGGTAGAGGGGGGCCCATAGTGCTCTGGCTTGCTGGGTACACTAGGCAAGTCACTTGACCTCTTTGTGCTTAAGTTTCCGCATCTGTAAGATAGGGATACTGACCTCCTTTGTAAAGCACTTTGAGATCTACGGATGAAAAGACTATAGAAGAGGTAGGTATTACTACTACATTCCTTGGAAGAAGTAGGCATTAAAAGCTGTTGAAAACACCTTGCACAACTGATAATTCACAATAGCCACCTTACTCCTAGTGAGGTGACTATTTGATTCCCCTGTCTTCGTGGAAGCCTTTAGTGCATACAAGTTTGATCTACAGAATGATTTCAGCGTATGAATGAATGAATGACTTGAGTCATGTTTCCTGGGCACTGACAGACTGATGCCAAACATTTGCAGAGACCCTGTCCTCTGAGCTGACATGACCAGGCCTAAGAGAGAGGCAGTACTCATGTCCTTTAAGGTCATTAGGATAAGGCTGGATGCTGCTTGGTATTAGAATTTCTGTAACAAAAGTATGCAGACAGTTTGGGGGGGGAGGGGGAGGAACAGTGATCTGAAACCAGCCAAATAGGGGATGGCAAATCAAATAGAGGAGAACTCAAAAAGGCAGTCTCGTCACAGTAAATATACTACTAGAGAAAAAGATGTAGGGGAGAGAAGCTGACATGCCACCGAGTCAGCTTCTCACTGGGAAATGGGAATGGCCAAGTTGAAGGTGTGCCTCCACATAGCACTTGATTGCCATCTCCCGGCAAGGCAGTTCAACATTCTTTCAAGAGCATTCTCAGCCACCATGAGTTAGCAGCTTAAAATTCAAGAGCAGGTCTCCAATCCCTGTTTTACAGTGGTTTCATTGTTTGCGTCCACACACACACTACCCTTTTTTTTTTTAAACTGATGGTAGTTTGCCTAGAGCTTGGGATATGTGGAGGTTTCGGGGGGGGGGGTGAGGAGCGCCACACAGACCCAAATAAAGAATTTTTCTTAAGCACTTTTAACTCTAATGGTAGTTTAAAAGCATATGCTGACTGAGAGCAATCAATCTTAATTAGTACATAAGCTATTAATATTTACCTTGCTCAAGGGAGAAGGAGCACCAGATCTAAAAAGAAGAGAAGATAATGAAGATTTTCAAGTTAAGGACATTTTAGGAAAGCATGCTGAAGAAACATCAGAATAGTTTTTCAAGTTCTCATTAAAAAATTATTTAACTAAAGAGATTACAAACAAGTACGCTGGACTTGTCTAAAAGCCATTTCAAAACCAATACATGCTGTAGTTTAACTCAAAGTCTGTCATTTTAGGAAATAAAGAGAAGTTTTAAGTGGTGAAATACTAATGCCTATGTTTAGTACTGTCTGTGGCATTTGACACCCTGGGCCAAATCTTACAGTTCAGACCCGATGTACTTGACACAAGAACTGTAAGTAAGGCAGCAACTTACACGTCTGCTTTTGGCCCCATGAAAGCTGGGGATTACTGGAGTGAAGTGGTGGCCTGGCCTTACCTCTTTCCCAGCCATGCCCCCTGTATTGGTGGCTGGGAAGGGTTGGCATATGAGTCACTATGGAACAGGAAGACTCTTCAGCGGGTCAAATCCACTTATTTTTAAGCTGCCAGAAAGCTACAAAAGCCAAGATCAGCTATGCCTTAGCTCTTGACAGTTATGTCTGAAATATATAGCTCTATGGTAAGGTGGCATTTAAGGCATACATACCAGTGATTTAAGATTAAAGTGTTACAGGGCTACTGTATTTAACATAAATAAAACAAAACATTACAAACCCAGGAAATTCATATCGAAGATTATACTGAAAAGAAGCCCAAATATGCAAAGATATGGCAATGCATAGTTAGGACACCTAGACTAAAATCTGCCCTGTGGTGACATCATGCAATAACCATGCCTTAATTAAAACTGTATATTAATATTTCTGGTCCTAGATTAAACTCAGGAAAGATGTATTCGGGCTTTTTCCTACCTCATGCTGTCACTACTAGGCAGAGTTAAGGCTGTTTGAGTGCCCTAGCTGTGCATTTTCTTACCCATAGATAGTTGTTTGTTATAAAGAGTAATTATGTCACTGATTGCTGCTTTCACAGAACTTCAGCTGAGTAAAAAAACCTGAAGAAGATCTCTGTGTAAGCTCAAGAGTGTGCCTTTCACCAACAGAAACTGGTCCAATAAAAAGATATTACCTCATCCACTTGTCTCTCTAAATAGTTTGAGTCAGTCAATTTTCTCACTTCTAGGCTAAGCTTTTTTACTAATTTGATAGTCAATTTTTTGTACCAGTTTAACTTCTGGGTACATTCCCATTTGTGAAATTGATCAGAGAATTTTTCATGCATTTAAATTTTGTGGTTAAGACAACTAGTTCTGAAATACACTATTAGATATTCCTCTTTGTGCACGAGAAAGCAAATATTCCTTGATTAGTTGCAAATATCAGCGAACACAAATATATGCAAAGCTCATGAAAAAGCAACTTAATCATAGAAACTAGAAACTGGCAAGATTTAATCACTCAATCTCCTCAATAAGATGAGCACTTAAATATGCATGCAAACAAGAGTATATAAAAACTTACCCTTCACTAAATTGCACGGCAAACAGACATACAGAAAGAAAAGAAAGAATGCATAGGTTAAGTGCACTTTAACTTTTTTCCTCAAAAAAGTGAACAGTTAAGATAAACATCTAGATAAGAGGCTGCAAGACGATTAGAAAAATCTGCCCAGCAAATAGAATTTTTACAAATTTTTACAGCAAATAAAGTAACGGTGAAGAACCAACTTATTCTTCCTCAAACTGGTCCTTGTACAAAAGCAATACAAGTTAAGTGGATTCCATTATGTTGCAGTGTATACATAGTTTTTGGGGGGTAAAATTAAGAACTCCATTAAGCGGTGCTTGTAAACAGAAAACATTCGAGAAGTCAATGATGCTAGCTAAATAATAGGATTAGTCTGTTCTGAAAAGTGAATCATGAATGACATAAGTGCGGGCTGTCTTCAATATTTATGTTTAATTAGTTGGTGTCAAAACAAAGCAGAATTACATTTGTATAGGTTATACTTGTTTCAGATATAAAAACACAGGGAAATCTTAAAATAGCTGTAAAAAGGCATTGCTTGTATGTCATAATGGTGTGAAAAAAAATAAAATCTCAAGCAGTGTTTAAAGTCCAGTATGGGGAAGTAGAACCAGTATAAATTAGAGGAACAGCAAATACTTGGATGAACACAGTGTGATGCTGCTATACTCCCCGTGGGCAAATGGAGTCTCACATCACTATGCTTCCCCTACTTCCTTGGAAGTTCCAGCGGAGAACAGTGATACACAGACCACTTTCTCTCTTCACTGGTCTTGCAAAAAAACTTAAATGTGGCAGCTCTGAAACAATCAACACAGCCTGAAGAATTAAAGATGGCTAGTATCCAAGCGTTGCTCTAGGAGAGAAGCGAGCTGGAACCAAGAGGCACCTCTTCTTTCAATAAGAAGCAAAAGGGGAAGCTCTGGATGCTGGGTGGCCCCTCTGGCCTGGAGGGGCTTCTATTTTTGGCTTGATAAATTTTTAATCTAGTTCTACACATGTAATTGCATCATTTTACCTGTTCCCGGGTTTTTTCCCTTCCAACGTGTTTAGATGTTGTTCCAGGGTCTCCATAAGACTGCTGGGAGCCTAGAAAGTGAATATAAAAAAAAAGGTGCACTTTTTTTTCTTTAAACACACTAAATGATGGGAGCCTTAAGGTTATCGGGGCAATTTAAATAATCTTCTGCTAAAAGTAAAACCAGTTTGCATACGCATGCTATAACCCCCAATTCCACTCCATTGTGTAAAGAGGAAAGAAAAAAAAGGATTTTCATGCTGGCAATATCAAGACAAAAAAGCAATTCTATAAAAAAGCCAATTCTGAAACATTTATTCTTTGCAGAGTTATAGCCATCTCTTTCTTTACTATACAGTTATTGAATCCTATGTACATGATGTGCTCACCAGACTTCCAGACAGATCATGTGTTTGACATTAACAGCACAGGCATCCACAGGTTAAGGGAAAATTACAAACACACACACTAAATCCACACAGGTATTTATGCTCATATCAATTGGGTGTGTTATAAATTAGCTTTTAGCTAAAACACGGACAATTTTTCCCATTTGTGACTAATGGTTAGAGTTGTATTTATCAGCTAGTATTTTCCACTAAAAGGAAAAGTGTAAATTAAAAAATGGTCCAGATTAATTATAAAAAGCTATGCTTAGAATTTGAACACTTTCCAGGTAATAGCATGAAATATCTACATAGTCTGGTTTAAAAAAAAAAAAGAAAACAACTTATGAATATATGGGACAGGTAATCAAGATTCAGGAGCCAGAAGAAAATAAATTCAAAAATTCCAATTTCAGATACTTTATAAAATGAAATAAATCTCAGTCTAATGAAGTTTGACTAATACTGCACTCAATTTTCTTAAATTCAAGATCCTCAGTGTTTTGAGACTTTAAATAACCAGATTTTATAGCTGAGTAAAATACCCAGGGATGCAGTTGCTGTTACAATGGTGGATAAAAAGGAAAGAAAGCAAGAACAAGTTTCAGTGTCCTTAGTTACTCCAGTATAAAAATAGTGCCTAGATAAGTAGATTTCCATAAGACCAATGAGTGAACAAGAAGCCCTTGAGAGCTACAACCGTAGATAACAGCAATATTTTATCAGGGTTACCGGTTCATCAATGGTACATTCTTTAAAAGGGGAATTTTCATTATCAGTGATTTTCAGATCAACCAGAACTCTTGTCAGCAATACCTAAAATGTTTGTCATAAATAAGTTCTTTAATAGCTCTGTGTAAATACGTGCATTGAAAATTTAAAAAAGCAATACAAAACAAAAAACCTGTCATGCTTGAAGTCAGTGCTATTATTTCCAATATGCACATACAGTGTTACTGAAGACAATTTCAAGTGCCAGACTAAAATCAACTTCATAAGATATGACTACCACCGGTATCAATATGAAATGAATACTTTTTTTAGGCAACAAATTTGATGTACAGTAATGCATAGTAGAACCCTCTTGTAGCCAAGTCTTCAATAAAAACTATTCACTACACAATTTTAGTGTTCCAGTGCACATGTATTTAACATCAGGATTCCTTGACAGACTTACACAGAAGAACCTCAACACAAGATCTTGGAAACAGCACATTTAGTTTCACAACTTAATTTTTTTATTAAAAAGTATCAGAGGTGTGGGGGGGGGGGGGAGGGGGAGGAGAAGGGGTTAACATTCAAACATGGCCAAGTTGTGCAACACTCTGAGCTGTCTTAATGATTTGAAAAGTTCTGTATCTATTTACATACCCTAACATTTGAAATAAATAATGCAAGCACAAGCAAATAGCTCAGTACAGGTAACTTCATTAATAAGTGAAAAAGTTGCTAGAATTCACTGGTAGTGAAAAACGAAAGCCACAAAAGTTTCAGGTTTGCTAAAAAGTAACAGACTTGGCCATTTACCTATTTATTTCTCTCTAAGCTAATTCTCGGTTATATAGGGTATCCATTTTTGTGGATAAGAGGAACAATAATGAAGGATTTAGTATTTTGTTGGGCACACTGAATGTTCGGCCAATCAATATTTCAATATTCTAGCTACAGTATTCAGGTCTCTTCCTGAGACTTCATAGTTTTCAAATATACTATTTGTAGCATTTGTGCTAGATTAGATTTTAAAAACAAGTGAACTTTAAAAAGTCTGTCTGATACAACTATAGATAGGGCTCCAGAACTAGGAGTTCCAAGGCCTCTGAGGTCATAGTGCCACACCCAAATAGGGTGATCAGATGGTAACTGAAAAATTGGGATGGGAGGGGTAGACCTCTATATAAGAAAAAGCCCCAAATATCGGGACTGTCCCTATAAAAATAGAGACATCTGGTCACCCTACACCCAAACACCCAAACCAGTTAAATATGAAGCTTAATAGCATGCAGCTGGCAACATTTGCTATTCAGAAGTTATGACACATTCATGGGGATAATCTCTGGCACAGATGACTAGGCAATATCCACAGAAGGTGACTCTCTAGAGTTAGCAAAGTCAGCCTAATCTTCTATTCAGTTTGGTAGTGGCTGCCACAAGCCTGCTCTCTCCACTTCAGGCATACCTGGTATATTTTGTCTGTCTACTAAAATTAAAAATCCCTCATGTTTTCTAGCAACTAAGATGCCCACCTCAGCTTCCAACTCCCTGAACCTGAACCAGAAAGGTTAAAATTTATATGAAGCAAAAATCCAAGAATAAGAGACATGGCTGGGAAATAACTAAAACGGAAGTATTTATGAAAAGTTAAAACCCACTATATTTCCCTTCTTTGGGGCTGCAAAGCATCAAACCTAGATGCCAAGTTGAGAGAGTAGCACCGTGTACATGTAAATCTTCTACATAGGACATTTTGGGAGATATTTATTAACATCACTAAGGAATACCACTAAAACCACTCTAGACCTAGTAGACGGAGCCTTAAGAACACAGAAGTAATGTCACCTTACATAAAATATAACTGGTATTTCAGTTAGAGCTGTGGAAATAACTGCTTCTTCTGTTCAGCAGCTGAACAAAACATTTAAGAAATTTCAGCTAGACCCCAGATGATTTGTGTTTGGCAAACAAAAACAAAGTCAAAAATTTCATTTGACCTCAAATGAAGACTTTAATTTGACATGAAACAAACTTTTAAAAGGCTTACCTCCAAATCAAAATTGAAGTAAAATTGGAAACAAAGAAATTTCAAATAAAAAAATATTTTAATTTCAAACATGTACCCCTGGTTGAGAACCACTGAGCTAGGGGGCTGAATCTGGTGGAATTTAAACACCCGTTTTGGAACACATTTTTGTCAAAATTCAGGTCTCTCTCGTGACTCCTTTGGTACCAACCTGAGGTTTCCTGCCCAGACCGGATTCTGCCTAGATGCAAGTTTCTTCAGTGCCTCAGAATGGTTTGCTCCTGCCATGCCAGTCAGACTAGATAGGAACTAATACATGATTTTTCAGTGACTGTTTACTTGACTTGGGCATCTCTGGAGCCACATACTGATCCAAGATCGATCAGGGATCCTGACTTTTAAGGTTTTACATTAAGAAATACTGGCACTGTCTGTGCTTAGTCAGGGTCTAAAATATAAACACAACACACTGCCCTTTTAGTATTGGCTCTGAATGTTCAGAATGTTCTGACAGAAGCTGCTCATGCAGTCCAATGGACACTGCTTTCCTGAAGGCTGCAGAAGCGTAGCAGCATAATAAGGGCAAATATGCAGAAGTACTTCAAGAATTAAATTTCATTCTAACAATTTCTGGGTGCTTCCTGTGATCTCAGTAACAGCCATAGCCCAAGTTAAAACCTCTTTGCCTAAGGATTTGATAATTCACATGTGACAAAGTGTGGAAGTGTCTAGTATCTTATCACCATCAAGTGAGACTGTTTCTCTGTTCAGTTTTGTATAGTTGCATGATAGTGCATAGAGTTAAATCAAGGGGGGGCGGTAATAAAGGGGTTAAAGAACTGAGGAGGAAAGACAGATAAGAGCTTCTGGTAAACACCTTTAAAGCAGCTAACAAAAATAATGGTGCCATCAGACATAAATGAGATGAAAGAAGCTGAGACGCCAAAAATAAGAGACCTTAGAAGGTGGCTCTGGCAGAAAGGAAGAAGGACAAATGGTCAGCATGCTATGAGGCGGATACAGACTAGGGGAGAGGTAAGAGCTATAGGCAAGCAGCCTCTCTCTAAACGGGACCTAAGCATCTAGGCCAGGAGCAGCTAAGGTAAAAGCAATGCAAGATTCATGTGGCCAGGCCTCTTATTTGTACCCCATGTCTCAGTCTGCTTTATTTCTACTGGTAATATTGAACAATACTTGTTTGAGAAAGCGGTGTGGTCCCTGTGCACTAACTAACTACTAGTCACAGCTCTCGGAGAGAACTCAACAGCAGGATTCAAATCCCAGTTGGGCCTGCTGAAGTAATCATAGTTGGTATCCAGGGGACATAAGTCCTGGTGTCACAACCCAAAGCACTAGGAGCAGAGTTTCCTGAATGAAACTCGCCCCTCCCCAAGGAGCCGAGGACTTAAAACCCTCCTGAGAGCTGAAACAACTCTGAGAACCCAGCGGATCCTTGGATGGCCTGGGTGCCCAGGACAGCACTCCCGTCCACCTTCCCCCCCCCTTCTTCTGATGTTACACCCGGACTTGGCCAGTCTGGGTCATGCGTGTGAGCGTATGAAAGTGGGTTAGGGCTTGGGGCATTTGGGAGCGTTCCCAGCACTCTCTGCTGTGTTATTTTATTATTTTATCAATAAAAGCTTTAAAATTTAAACACTTGGTGTGCCTCTTCATCTCCTCCCAAAAAAGATCCTGTGGCCCCAGCCTGATCAACTGTGGCCTCAGGCAGATTGGTAACGATAATCTGTCACACTGGTCTAAAAGCAGGAAAATTACAGAATTCTACCCTCTGAGAGATAAAGATCTGAGGCCTGACATCTATGGGGGTGCACTCCAGACCCCAAGAAGGGTCAGTGGTGCAGCAGCTATCCTGGAAGCTGACACTACATATAGCTATTACTCTGTAAAAAGAAAACTGCATTAAATGTTTCAAGTTATGCAACAATTTTAGCTTCTAGCAGACTAAAATGGAAACTGAACTATTTAAAAAAGTAAATTTGTTGTAAATGCAGTATTTTAGATTATATAAAAACCTCAAGAAGTCCTTAGGCTTCAGTTATTTTTCCTCAAATCAAGCCAAAATGTTAAATGCAAACTTTTATTTAGCTTTATTTCAATTCTGAGCTTTAAGAAACTAGGGATATTTTCCAGTCAGAAGAAACAATTTATGGAATATAGTAGGGAACCAAATATTTAGATGTTTTTAATATAGATTTATAAGTAGTGAACATGTTCTATTAAAAATTCATTAGATTTTTATATAGTTGCTCTCCAGTTTGATTAAAAGCTTTTAGTTTCTGTGCCATTTTGCAGGCATTGAGATATGCAATAAGTTAAAATTTGATTTGAATACACTGTTCTGCATTCATTAATGAAAATTTCCATGCTACTGTGCATTAAGTAAAACAACATTAATTAACAAATATTGTTATGGTTCTTGTTAAAGACAGGAATGCCATATTAATACTTGTAGTTGCTTAGGGTTACCATAGGTCCGGTTTTTCCCGGACATATCCGGCTTTTCGGCAAACAAACCCCCGTCAGGGGAATTGCCAAAAAGCCGAACATGTCCAGGAAAATGCCGGCCGGGCACTTCCCCTCCCGCAGCGGCTCTGCTCCTCCCCTGACTCCTTGGCTCTGTTTAAAAGCCGAGCTGCCCGAGCGCTATGGGCTTCAGGCAGCCCCTTGCCTCCGGACCCCAGCCGCCGGCCGGGCACTTCCCCTCCCGGGCTCCGGCGGCGCAGGGTCCGGAGGCATGGGGACTGCCCGAAGCCGGTAGCGCCGCGGCAGCTCTGCTCCTCCCCTGACTCTTTGGCTCTGTTTAAGAGCCGAGCGCTACGGGCTTTGGGCAGCCCCCATACCTCCGGACCCTGCGCCGCCGGAGCCTGGGAGGGGATGTGCCCAGCCGGGGGCGCAAGGTCCGGAGGCATAGGGGCTGTCCGAAGGCCGAGCGCTACCGGCTTCACGGTTTGCCGGGCAGCCTCCAGACCCCGCGCCCCCAGCTGGACGCTTCCCCTCCTGGGCTCCAGCTGCGCTGGGGAAGCGCCGGCCGCGGGCGCAGGGTCTGCCCGGCAAACTGTGAAGCCGGTAGTGCTCGGGCAGCCCCTTTCGCGTGGCTGGGAGTAGGAGGGAGGAGGGGGCGGGGCTGGGGGGAATGGGCGGGGCAAGGGGGATCCTCTTTTTTTATTTGTTAACTATGGTAACCCTATAGTTGCTGTAAGTAAGGAGTTTGATCCATGTTTGAGTTTCAAGGAATAAAATTCTGCCTCTAATTTTAGCTCCTTACCATGTTTTAAAGTTTAAGATACTCGTATTTGGTCATATTATGGCAACTTCTTTATAGCTATGGACCACGACATTCTGCCAGAGGTGAAATTATGAAGTAGGTCAAAGCACAAATTCAGTGCTATGACACCTTAGTCCATTTTTTAAATGCAGTACTCACACTCCTTGTGGGATAAATCTGCACTTCTACAAGGGAAAACAGATAGGCAGTCTTTTCATTATCTAGTTACAAACTTTAAAACAATAATCAGAAAATGAAACTGGTCTTCTGGGATTAAATGACCACAAGAGATCAATCTGCCAAAAATGGTTGACAATTTGCAAATTCCTCCCTTTTGCATTTGAGAAGGATTTCAAGAAAGGTACATATCAGGGTACATGCCAATTATCTGACTCTTCCTCATACAGTTTTAGCTTACTGTATCTTTCCTTATTGAATCAGTTTATACAAAACTTAGAAACTTACTTGTGTGAGATCAGGAATGTCTCCTTTGTCAATTCCAACTTGCTGTGGATTTAAAGAACAATTTTATTGCGAAACCAGTAGTGCTTGTATGCTACAACTGCAGCAAGTATTCAAATTGATTAAAACTGTCACATATTTTCTCTTCAACTAACTTCTTATGCATTATGTCTAAATATCATTAAGTACACAAGTTACAAACTTCATAACTGATTTTTCCCCACAAGCCACTTCCTCACCCTTCCAAACACCTTGAAAATGCTGCAATGCTCCCTTCTAGGGAGCAAAAAAGTTTATTTAGATACAACCCCCCGCACAAAACTCAATTCTCACTCAGGTCTTGCACTCCCTTGCACATACAAGCAAAACTTTCCAGCTCTAATGCATTTAGTCTGAAAAGGCAGCAGTAGTGAGCTCAAGAAAGCATTATCCAGGACTCAGAACTCTTTTTGAAACTTCCAGTTAATCCTCGCTCAGTCAGCGAAAGAACTCCTGCAGGAGCTGCACCTCTTCACCCTTCAATCTGGGTCCCTTTGGTTTATGCCCCTTTCAGCTCTTTGGAAAACTAAAATAAACGTTAAAACAGGGATCTCAAACTCAAATCACCATGAGGACCAGTACATTGGCCCGAGGGCTGCATCACTGACACCTTTTCATATAAAGGTACAAACCCACCCACCCCTGCTCTGTCCCCACTCCATCCCTTCCATGAGGCCCCGCCCTGCCTCTTCCCACCCCTTCCCTGCCCCACCCCTATTTCAACCCCTTTCCCAAATCCCCGCCCCTGCCCTGCCTCACCTCTTCTCCGCCTCCTCCCCTCAGTGCATGGCTCCCTGCTCTGCCCCCTCCCTCCTGGAAAGTGCTAAGCGTCGCCAAACAGCGGGAAGCACCTGGAGGTAGGCAGAGGAACAGGGACATGGTGCACTGGGGGGGGGAGGGGAGAGGAGGAAGGGGCGGCGGGTGAGGGGAGCTTGGAGGGCTGCAGCAAATAACTCCAAGGGGCTGCATGTGGCCCGCAGGCTGTGTGTTTGAGACCCGTGTTAAAATATCAATCTCTGCTAGCATCCTTAGTCCAGTTGCGCTGTGGTCCAGAGCTTCTATTTTTCTGTCCCAATTTTTTTAAGTCTCAGCTCACTGCCTTGAGACTTTTGCTCCGATTTAGCGTTTTCAACTCCAAAGCCACTTGCTTGATTTTAGAATGTGATCTGCTTCTTCTATCCATCAAAAAGAAAGGAAGATTATAAATCTGAGCAGTGTCCATGTAGCAGGAGGATATTATGAATGGGTACACTTGCTGCAGATTCTATTTGAGCTAGGAATGTTGTACAAGAGAGTGTCGAATCTAGTGGTCAGCGTGACACTTGAAGATAGATCTTCATGAAGATCCCTTCTAGTCCCCAAAATTGCCACCCTCTTCAAGGTTACATTTAAGTCAGGGACTGTCCATTGGCACAGGTGGTGGCTCTAATCATGAATGGAATGCAACAAGCTATGGTTAGTTTTGGTATCTTGTGCTTCAACCCACTACTGACGCCCATAGGGCCCAAGAACTTTAGAACCTGGATTTAATTGGTACTGCTTGAGCTATAGATAGTATACAAATGTCAAATGTCTGAAAATAGAAGTAATATTTTGATACATGTGCTTTTTAGTTTGATATGGAGAAAATATAGCTTACCCTTCAGCAGTTGATCACTTAAGATTTTTCATGATAATATTTGAGGTTACTTACCTCTGCAACTTTAAGAAATTCAGATACTCTAGTCATTCTAGTCAGAAATCGTTTGTAAATTTCAAGAGCATCTTTACACTGTCCCTTTTTCATCTCAAAAAATTTCTCTGGAAGAAAAATATAAAAGTGAACAACCATTTTCTCTTTAGTAGTTTGTCAGTCACTAGAACTACATTTATGGTAGATCTGCACTCATCTGCAATCCTATTTACAGAAAAAAGATACTTCAAGAATTTAATTGCTAAGTGGTGTATTGATTGGTCCCATTGAGGCTTCTTTCCCTCCTCCTCCATTAGCTAAAATGCAACTTTATCTTAAGTTACAACTACATGACAATTAAAGCAAGTTTAACTGGTGCACGTGGTTGAAATTTCATTTACCTCTACATATTTGTGAAACTAATTGAGTAGCTCTTCTAGTTATTAGTATAACTTAACAAGGCTCTTACATGACCAGCAGCTAAAATCTTAAATTTTTCATAATGAAAATTACGAAAAATTTTAGTATGATTTGTGAGCAGGTTTTTAAGCTTTCAGAAAACCAGTTTTAGAAATATTTAAACAAAAACAGTGAGTACATTTATGTTGTGTACCTATCACTAATTTAAAATAAGCTAAAATTAGTCGAAGTTCAAGGAGCTTTTTTTCCCCCCCTTTCTTCCTCCCCCTTTAAGCATACTATATTGCAGAATACCAAATAAGTTTCACACAACTCTAAAATGGTTGTTCTCACTTTGGACTTTGAGACACTGTCTTATGCCCATTTTTCAAATTTACAACCATTCCTATAAAAACAGGGTCAATGCGGGTTTCTCAACCCTGAACACTCGAAGAGGCATCATGAAAAACCCATGAAGGTTTATGGAATAGAACACAAGAACAAACACTTCATAAACACAATTTATTCCACAAAGAGGGACATTTTATCCAACCATAAAAAATCTTGCAATTCCTTAAGCACCACCTTAAACAGCCCCCCCCCCCAAAACCTTTAGTCCAAATAATTAGTCCTTCCATAAACAGCTATCAATTTCTTCACTTTTGCAACCCTCAGAAGCAGCAACAGTAGGTAAGGTCCAACTTCTCAACTCTTCCCTAGAGTCAGCAAAGGAGCGCATGCCTGAATGCACACACCACTCCCACTAATTCCTAGTCCCATGGAGAGGTTTGGGGAAGTAAAGTTTGTCCCAACTCCACACAGGAGTCCTATTAAGGAGACAGCTTGATCCCAACCAAACAGAAGAAGAAACTACTACTGGTAAGCACCCTCTGGCAAGGCCTGGAGAACATCATGCACACAACCCCCCTCCACCCCAATGCAGTCTATTAGGCCATATTATTGCATGTGACAGGAAGGGCAACTTCCCACAAACAAAACACCCAACTACACAAAATTCACAAATTGAAGAGAATTTTCCCTGGCTAGCTTGCGGCTGTAGTTACTGTAAGTGCACCATCTGCCTCCTGACCATCCCCTTGTGGCTGGCATAGCTCTGAGACACCCTGCCTCAGTTTCCCCTCTTTCAGGTTCCACAATGAACTCCAAACACAAAAGGATTTCATGAGCTCCCACATCAGTCACCCTTCTTGGGTTCTGTTTTCATTAGCACAATGTTCAAAATTAACACAGAAAATCTCCCACATCAGCCTTAAACTGGGCACAGCCCTTCCTCCCTGAGGTACAGTCTCTTCCTGCTCTCAGAGCAGCTGAAGAATATACAAGGCCTGACCTGCCTTCTTTGTCTTCTCCCTAGCAATAAAACAGAACTTCCAGTCAGGGCTTCGTACCCAGCCACAACTCCCTGGGCTTCCAGCCTAGAGACGCTCTTCCTCAGGAACCATGGCAGCAGACTCTTTTCCTGCAGCATCACTCTGCAGTCCACAGGCCTCTTTTTTCTACACCATCTCAGCCTGGTTTAGTCACATGACTTAATTCATTCTCCCCAACCTGGGGAGGCATATCAGTTTTGTCACAGGTGGACCAAGACCTCTCTCTCTTTAAAAGGGACCAGCCACAGTCTGACAATTACAGTTACTGTTCTAAGCAACAGTAGGTACAGTTTTCAGACAGACATGTCATTTCCAAGTTAGAGGCTCTTCAAATATGTTTAGTTTTAAAGAAAACTCCATCAGAAACAAGACGTGGGTAAAAAAAAACAAGACAGCAAGCATTGTAGTTCATCATGATGGCGTAGAAAATATTAGCTCTGTTTTATAAAAAATATCTACATTTGATCAGCTTTGAGTTGCCTACGCTGAGAAAATGGGTGACTTGAAAGTAATAAAAGGAAACTAGACTCTCTCTCCAGTTCAGTAGTTAGTAACTGTCCAATTGGGATGAGTTTCAACAGTCACCGTACATGAACCCTCCAAGGGCAGGTCTTCACTACGGGGCGGGGGGTGGGGGGAAGGGGTTGATTTAAGATACGCAAATTCAGCTATGCGAATAGCGTAGCTGAATTAGACGTATCGGAGCAGACTTACCCCGCTGTGAGGGCGGCGGCAAAAATCGACCTCTGCGGCTCCCCGTCGACGGCGCTTACTCCTACCTCTGCTGGTGGAGTAAGCGCGTCGATTCGGGGGATCGATCGTCGCGTCCCGACGAGACGCGATAATTCGATCCCCCAGAGATCGATTTCTACCCGCCGATTCAGGTGGGTAGTGTAGACCTAGCACAAGTTCCTGGTGAACTTGCCCCATCACATGATATAACATAACTGAAACCAAGTATCACCAGTTTTGTTGGCAGTTAAAGCAATAAGGGGAAGGAAAAAGTCAGCAAGGGGTCAGAACTACAAATTCAGCCCTACAGATCGTTAATCTAGAAGAGAAAGCAACACACTGGTTGAGTGTAGAGGCTGCACCTTGTCTCATGTGGCTGTCCTGTTGATAAGAATGTCAATCCTACTTTTTAAGAGTAGGATTTATTTTTAATTGACAAGAGACTGAAAGCCTCAGTATGCATTTAGGAGATTCAAGTAGCTACAATACCCAGTCACCTTGCCAAATACTAGCTGACTCATTAAAAGTCAGTATCATAACTTTGTATAGTAATGGTTAGATGTACATGATTTATAAAGTTCTATACTAATAAGTAAAGGCTAAAATAATCAGGGATGAAGGTTAACATATCCCAGCCCCACCCCAAGTCTCCTCATTTAAGATTCCAGTCCTTACTCTATTTTCTTGGTATTTTAGAAGGCAAGGTGTTTATTATCGAATAATAAATGAGCAATACAAAAAGAGTATTTTTACACTTGGAAAAAATACTAGCGTCAAGAGTGTCAATTTTTTTTATACTAAAATAATTAAGTGTTGCAAAAACTCTTTTTCCTTGCTTCTTGAAGTCATATTTTCAAATGCCATTGCTATCCAACCCTTTTATAGACTGTCTAGTTGAGTAACTGCTATAGAAAATCTGCATGTCAGATTAAGAATATAAAACAAAAAACAGACTACCAAAAAAGTCACATCACATCTTTTATTCAGCAAGAGTATTTAAAGTTGCCTCCGAGAAACTAAAATTCTACTTAAGTCTACTACTTTACAATAAAATCTCATCCGCCTACTTACCTAGTAAGTTAATAACTCCATCATTGTAACATGCAAAAAGCTTGATAAGATCTTTAAAGAGAAGCATAAATGCAGCATTTATGACGCCATTTGTCAATTCATTTGGATGAACCTACACACAAATAAAACTCCATTCAGATACATTTAATTGATCTATAAAATGCTTAACATTTTGGCTTTCAGCAGCAGATACATATTAAGTTAATACAGTATTCAATTATATAGATTTGGATTTATTTGAATTCTGAGGATACTCTACTAACTCAGTTTTATTCAAGCGAAGGGAAAGAGATCAGTTCTGTTCCATCATTTCAGGTGGCACATGTTGCGATCACTTAACAATCCTGTGGAAGATTCCTACAATATTGATCTGGAAGACCCATATTATGAATGAAAAATCTAATTGATTATTCATTCAGGCTTCACGTGGACAGAAAGTGCCAGTTTTTTCAAGGATCACAGTTGATTTTTCCATATTCTGTTACCAGTATGCATCAGACTACATATTTGATATTGTAATATTCTTGAGAATCACGAAGTTTTTAAACTGACCAACAGAGCTAATGCATTAATAAAATATACAAGCCTGAGTTATTGCTACAGTAAAAACCCTGCTACATTTAGGTTGAGAAACAGCAGCAGTCACCATCTTCTGCGCTGCTCCACTTCCTCTATCACTGCTGCTCTTAACAGGGAAGCGCTACATATCCCCACCCACTGCTGCCTCGAGTCAGAAAGAACTTCAGAGTTCCTTCCCCCTCCTTTCTTTTATTGTTCCCTTTCTCCCCTTTCCCACCCTCCCCACCAGTGTCAACCACAGTGGATAAAAAAACCCAAAATGTAAGAGTTGTTTACGTTTTTAAAAGTTGACTTCATTATTTTATATCATATTAAGATGCTAAAGTAGATTTTTTTTTTGCTTATTTCTTTAATTTCCTGATTTTCATAGAATTTCAAATTTTTCATAAGTTTATTCTAAAGAGTTTCATACTTAAAATGCTCATCTATGGTGAGAGAGACCAGTCCAGAGTCTCATTAACACCCTTCTTGTGAGAAGGGCACAAAGTTCAATAAATAGCCCATATTATACAATGATTGTAACCAATACCCTTTCTATATAATGCGTTTCCACAAGTCAAAAGTGAAATGTTTTGACCTGGCAAATAGTTCATCACTATTTGCAGTTAAAAGCAGAAGTCTCACTGGCTTCAAAGTGCATGTCTATACTGAAGCTGTAGGTGTAACTTCCAGTTCAGGCAGATGTATCTGAGCTAGCTTCGATTAATCTAGTGCACTAAAACCTCACAGGCAGCTGACCCGTCCCACCATCAGTGCAGCTCTGGACATGCTGCTATTTTGAGCACATTAGCTTGATCAAAACTAGCACTGGTATGTCTACCTGAGCTGGAAATTACACCTCCAACTCCAGCGTAGACATGGACACCTAAGTGATTTAGGTGCCCAAGGAGTTTAGGGGGTTAATTTGAGATTTCCACTTTTGAACAGTTTGCATACAAGAGTTCACAATACTGTGCCAATGCACTGAAAGTGTGAATAAACTTTTCAGTGTTAACATGGAAACAATTTTTAAGTGACAAAGATTTCATGCCACTAAGAAAACTTTTCAATAAAAACATTTTAGCCACTGATGCTGCAAACACTTATACACATGCCTAAGTGCGCAAGCAGTCACACTGAAGCCAATGGGACTATTCTGTGAGTGAAGTTATTTACCTGCTTAAGAAACCCTACTAGGGTGACCAGATGTCCCGACTTTATAGGGACAGTCCCGATATTCAAGGCTTTGTATTATATGGTGTCCCTAACCTCTGTTTGTCAGAGGATGCAGATGGATGGCAGGAGAGAGATTACTTGATCATTACCTGTTAGGTTCACTCCCTCTGGGGCACCTGGCATTGGCCAGCGTCGGTAGACAGGATACTGGGTTGGACGGACCTTTGGTCTGACCCAGTATGGCCGTTCTTATATTCTTATAGGTGCCTATTACCCGCCACCCCTTCCTGATTTTTCACACTTGCTGTCTGGTCACCCTAAACCCTACCAGCAGTAGCATGTAAAAAAGCTAGCATTTATAATTTAGTTCATTAGAAGTTTTAAATCTGAAGTTACGATAGCACAAGTTTACAGTTTAGTTTTACAAAGCCTCCGTCTGATTTAAAAAATAAACAGACAAAAGCCTTATGATTTATATTTGCTCCACCCTGGTCTTAACTGAGAGTTGCAGCAGTCTTTTCCCCTCTTATTCTTTCACCTTTTTCTTCTGCTGCTCTCAATCACTCTCCTTCCCATTCTTTCCTTATGTCCTCTCCTTTATATGCAAAATTTTTTCCTAAGCTCAAGTTTAAAAACAAAACAAAAAAGAAACTTGAGCATCAATTCTTCCACTCCCACTCTCTCCTCCTGCCTCATTCTGTCTACTCCATTCCCCTGTCCACAGACCACTTTCATTATCCTCTCGACACTATCTACTTTGCATTATCCACAAAACCTACATTTACTCTGAAAACAGAAAAACCATTCGAAAGGAACACCGTACTTCACCCACCCCTTCAAATGCAACAAATTGGAGGAAAAGTATGTTGTGCCCTATTATAGTAAAGTGTTAAGTCCCATTAATCTCAGCAGCTACTAGGGTAAAGCAGCACATTTAGGTAGCTTTAAAAAACAATGTATGAAGTAATGTTTATACTTTTGTTTTCAATTTAAAATTCTGAATACATACATCAAATTCAAGAAGTGCATCAATTTGTTCCTGTAATATTGGCATGCTTTTCAATAGCTTTTCTGGAACCATTGTTCTCATTACACCTTCAGCTCTGCAAGACAGAAAAACATAAATTAACAGACAAGTTTGATTAAAGATCAGTTTCATTAACTAGACGGCCTGAAGTACAATAGTGTGATGGTTTAGAAAGTTTCAAAACACAACACAGCATCTCAAATACATTTTGTTGCCATCTAGGTCACCTGTTTATTTCAGTGAATCATGTAAAATTGAAGTTAAATCTTGGTAAGTGTTGGAGAGGTCCACTTATTTCATAGGTTCCATTGTTTGCCAAGTACCTAATTTGTAGTCTATTACTACTAAAAAAAGTGACAGGTAGTCATGGTATTCATGGAAAAAAATACAGTGCAGCGTATCGTGTCAGACACAAAGATACAGTGTTGTACTCAAATGTTCTCACACTATAGCATCCACAAGGGCAGTTAGCCACCTGTAATTCTGCTCATCTTCAAGTATCTTTTGAATCAATTCCATCATTCCTACCTTTTGGTCACCACACCCTGGCACAGAGACTGGAATTCCCCTTGTTTGTACAGTGCCTACCACAATAGGGTCCTGTTGCTTGGCACTAGGGTACTACAAATAGTTCTCAAAGATTTGACCCTTTGAGACAACACTAGTTCAGTTTGATAGTGAGACCAATTTCTAGAGCCTCAGCAATCCCGTAGAGAAAATTCAATTTCACTTTCTTGATAAAAAGAAAGCTCTTTGCTTTTTATGTTTTGAGTGCCCAAGAAAACAGTCACTTGAAAAAAAAGTTATCTTAAACAGCTCTGAGGGAAGATGGGTACACAAAACAGGAATTCCATCAAATAATACCTTCGGAGAAGCAGAATTACAGGAGTAGAACTCTTCTCTACAGCTAACACGTTGAACAGATTTCTACTTGTTGAGACTAAGAACTTTGAAGTGAGCCTCCATAAACCTACAGATTCTGCTGTTATGGAAGAACAAAGACCTACACAAAACTGACCTCTTTAATATCTGACCAGGAAGACTGTATTCACATCAGAGGTAAGTGCTGATAAACAAGCAGAGCCAAGTAGTTGTCAAGAAGTAAATATTTTGTACAAACAAATTGAGTGGTTGAGAGTTTATCTAACCTATTCCATCCATAGCGGATAAAAACCAATTCCAGTACCTAGTTCCGCTGCATCCGATGAAGTGGGCTGTAGCCCACGAAAGCTGATGCTCAAATAAATTGGTTAATCTCCAAGGTGCCCCAAGTACTCCTGTTCTTTTTTCTTGGTACCCAGTAGGTACTTCCTGTCTGTCTTTCTGCCTGTATTACTCTATTTGTGTCTATGAATTTCTAATACCTACAGAAACCCATCCAATGCTCCTGGCGACTGTCACATAAACTGAACACATCCTCCTCCGAAGATGGCTGACCATAAATACAGTACATCTCCCTCAAACCATGGACCACTTCTTCAGCCTAAAAAAGACGAGTGGTCTGGTTTTTGAGACACTAAGGCCCACTGGAATCAAGACTGGAAGTCTTTGTGATAATGGACAGAGGGTTTTGAGGTCTGGCTCAGGGACCTGTATGTTACCCTTAAAGAAGATTAACTCATAGACCCAGAGGTCTGTGCTGATGATCTGATACATGTTATCCAGTCATCCCCTTCAGCTGCAATCAAGCAAGGTGTCTGGAGTCTCTATAGTTAGATATAACATATCTCATACTATGGTATACCTTGAAAAGGATCTCTGAAATGCAAATCTGACTTTAACCGGCTAAATTAGTCATAAAAGAGTTTCAAAGTCTTAAGATAGGCCCCAAGACAACTAAATGTAGCCTAGAGAATAATGTGTGTGGTTCTTGTGCATTACTAGCTTATTCACAAATTTAATGGCACCTCATTATACGACAATTTATTGTGAATGAGAATTCTGAGTGGAAAGAGTAAGGAGAAATTCATTTAACATTTTTAATTAAATTAATGTTATGTTAATAAGATGACTAACTTCCAGAAGATTTCCATGTTAATATTCCTGTCAGTAGGGATTTCAACCCCATAAATAAAAAAGGACTGATTGGGGGGTGAGGGAGATCACCTCCTTGCTTGAAAAGAGAGAAACTCTTACACCAGGGAGCATCCCAGCTGGTTCCTGGGCAGCTACTGAAGCAAGCCTGTAAGATTCCTATATTGCGTCTCCAGGACACAAGATCCCAGGCCCAGGGAACAGAGCAAATAAATAAAACCATAAAGAAAACGTTCCCTGAAGTATTCATTTCCCAGGTAAGAGGATATAAATCATCCAGTCATAACTTATGCTATAGCACTATCAGGGTATAGCAGCACCTTCATAATGTGTGCCAGGAATTACAAACCATTACTAGGCGAGTCAGAACAGATATGAGGAAGGTAAAACAAGGTATAGGGGCTCATAGAAATGAAGGCCCCTCCGCAAGTACATATAGATGTTACAGCCGTGGAGTGTTTGGAGCCATAAATTTCACAGACATGGTGAGGTATACGTAGCATGTCAGAGGCTGGGCTAAGCATCCATTTTCAGGTGAATGCTCTTTTGAAGTTCTGGGATGAGACTCAGGCTTACAGAAGTTATTCAGAGACGTCAGGAAACCAGGGATGCTCTATTTTCTGGACGGGTTAGGGAATATCTGCAGAACGGATGTATCCCAATTCACCCTTGCCTCATAGTGGATCTTCCCCTCTGAATATCTCTTCAGTCAGCTCTAGATGAGACCAAAACCCAATAGCCATGTGCTGAGAAGGCACTGAAGTCAATAACTTAGGAGTACACAACATTTCAATGTAAGATCAGACCACTGAATCAGATGGCTCTGAGAAATCAATGCCAACAGCAAACCAAACCATCAAGGCTACTGATGCTCCATGCACTGAACGAACACAGGAGAAATAACTTTGGGTAATTAGCATAGTTAACACACAAAACAGTGGCCGAAAGCATGGTGGGTTTGTTTTTGAGGTGCTAGCAACTCCAAGATGCCTTCACTTCACAGTGAAGTAGTCGAAGCAGATACTGGTGCTATGAACAGCTCTGACCACTGAGGACAAACCAAGTCAACCAAGGGATCCATAAGTGTTCCCCTAATCAGAAGCTCATGTCTAAGGGTGCAGAAGAGGCTGTAACCAACCAGGTTGCTAGTAAGGTTAATTGGCAACTAGCAATAAGCAGTCAAAGGAACTGAAACAAGATTATAGAGGGCACTGAGCCCCTGGCTGTTTATCTTGGAATGTAGCTGAACTACTGGTGCCGTAAAGGGACTAAAAAAATAAATAAATCCTAAATTAGAAGAATCCCAGCCTGTTTCACACTGAAGAACAGAGACCCAAGAGTATTCATTCTCATACTACAGAGACCAACTTGCTGTTCATAGAGGGTTAGGTTATTCCAAGTGAACACACATTTACGAGCACCTAGCAGTCCTTATGTACTGAAAATGGATTCTAAAACATGCATTGTGTAGTTATGTTCATGGCCTCAAGTTTCTGTATCAATATGCTCAGTTTACCAATAAATGTTTTTCTCACTGCAAGCGCTACATACTCAATCTAGGCTTTGAAATGCATGTGGAGGTTTCCTTCTCACATTCTTGAGCTGTAATAAGCCCTGTAATGATTCTACGGGCTAAATTAGCAAATCAGCAACATCTGTGCAAACCCACTGCCTACAAGTTTACCTGTTTTCATCTCATTTTACAGAATATTAATGTTTGCATGCTGATAGAAAGCCACAGGAAATGACAACTATGAAATATTTAGCCTAACTTGAAGGGACGGCTGTGACTTAAGATCTTCTTAATGCCAACTGGGAAGGGTGTGCAGTGGGATTACAGAAATTTCCTGATTCTGGTATGTACATTCTGGTTCACCCAAGAATGTTATGTGAGGTCTCAAATGAAAGCTGATGTCACACTGGTCATCAATATCATTGTAAAAGGTATGTACATGTACTATGCAAGGAGTTATGAATGTGTACCAGAAAATTATGTTCTTTAGCATAGAAGATAAAAGCAGGTCACCAAAAGATAACATGCCGTAGACCAGTTTCTCCAGACAGGAGGTAAGAAAGGTTTGTCTCTCTCTGTTGGGATATAAATTAAACATTGTATGCTAATACAATGAATATCTATTTACACATGTAGTCAAATGTTGAGATGTGAAATCAACAGGAAAGCACACAGGGAAAAAAAAGCAAAGCCATGGAGGGCTATTCTGTCTGAGTAAATAGAATGAACTTTAGGAGTATTTCTAGAAGGCAAAGATACTCTGGTATCCTGCACCTAGGAAGTAAACAGACAGCATATCTGCATTCATGAAAGCAGGGTCTTAGACAGCCATAGTTAAAAATGCGACAGAAGACTTTGGGCAAGAGAAAATATTTAGTTAAGTTTAGTCTGTAGAAAGTGTGTTATGACCATGCTTTCTATGTAACCATTTGTTTCGAATAGTCTTACTAACTACTACTTGTAGTAAGTTTATTACTGCTTTCACTATAAATATATTAAGCACTGTGATATTAAGCAAAGTGATGGTCCCGAGCTGAATCTTACAAGCTGGTGTGTTCCTTTGAGAATATGAGACCTGGTAATTTTGAGAATGTCTAGGGGAAAAAGGGGCAAGGGAATGTTCCAAGGACTCAGGGGTTGGTATGTACCTGTCGCTACCTACACAGAGAGAGAAAAGTCTGGAAAATAGTGCTTGCACTGCTAGAGGGTGTTCGTTTCAGGGAACTGATCCATAGCAAGCACAAATGAGATTCCTTGATGCTACGGGAAGGAAGTGAAGAGGTGCCTCACAACTGTGGGTATTTTTGGGGTGCATCAGTTTACACTTGCCTGTTTGGTAACAAACTTGCTAGTTCCAGTTGGTTTGAGAGAAGTTCAAGAGATTGTGTTTGATCTAGCAAGCCCTCTAGTTTGGGTCCTGGATACCTCTGCCATCCTGTTAGGTTTTCCAACTCAGCAGTTGAGATCAGCTAGAGTCTGTTAGCAGGAACATCCTATGTTAACAGATGGAGTGGGGAGAGAGGGCACTCAGTGGACAGCCTCAGCTCCAGAATTTACTTCTGTCCTTCGTCCAGAGCCAGATAAGCTGCAAGGCCCCTCCTTATGAAGGCTCTTTTTTAAGAGGGAATAGTTTGAGTAGAAATAGCCTACAAACTAAAAATAAACAGTTTTTTTTAAAGAGCGTCTGAAGGTTAAGACCTTTTTCTTGGTTAAAAATATTTTTGTTCAAGTGCCTCAAGAAAGTACGATTAAGAAAACACAAGCAAGACTTAAAGCAGTCTACACGGTAAAATGCCAGCTATCACAATGCAATTCAAACATTTAGTAGGGCCTGAAAAGGCCAGCTGGCTCATTTGATCCAATCCCATATGTTTTGAAAGACTAATTACTACATTATTCTCACCAAATTCTCTCTAGCTGGTCTAACAATTTTTCTTAGTAATCTATTCTACTGCTCATTTGCTTTTAGTTTTGAGAACATTTTTAAACCATAAAAATATTTCTTTCAGGGCACTGCTATCTGCCATAGTCATCATCTGCAATGGAACTATGACAATATTTCCCATCGTCCCTTCCATTAAATTTTTTTTTTTAAGTATAAAACTTAGCTTCTTCACTCTGTCTAATCTTCCAGTTCCTGTGACGCTTGAACTGTTTTACTATAATCTTCTACAAGAACGGTGTACAGCCTTCCAAATATATTAGCATCAGGACTAAGCAATAGCACTCTCTCCAGTTTCTACATGCTGTATGCCTGCAGAAAAACATGTAATAGTACTTTTAAACAAACAACAACATGCACTGCACTGAAAGCTCCTGTATACAGATTTTCTACTCACTTTCATCATCCTAACTTATTGTGACACCCTGGCTTGGGACACCCAGAACTGTAAGCCACTATGTTACAGTCTAATCTACAGTAAATCTCTCTTGCTGAGGCAGAAGGGTATGTCAGCTTCCTACCACACCAGTCAGTCTGCCTCACCAGCAAACTCCGACACTCTGCCGGTCTTTCCCCTGCCTTGCAGGTTTAAAAAAATAAAATCTGTGACCTCCCAATTCCTGAGTTCCTAGACATGTGTCTCTGAAGTGTCCACAGAGAGACTGGACATGCTCAGAAATTCAGTTCATTACTTCCCAAAAGACAATGTAAACACAAGCCTGTTAGGTTAGACGAGGACTCACTCGATACACTTCATTAGAACAGCACAGATATAATTTGTAGTAAAGCTAAGAATAAGTTTATCAACAAAGAATAGCAATTTCAGTGATACTAAGATAAAAAAGGTTACAAGGTATGAAAACAAGAACACACTTTCTAGTGACTAAAACTTAATTTTAGCAAGTTACAATCTTTGCTTAAGCAGTTCTCAAACCAAGTTACCATCATCTCTAGCTTGCCAGGCTGGGGGATCCAACTTTCTCAGGCTCAGAGGGTGCGGTTCCCTTTGTCACTTAAGTGACAGATAACTAGAATGCCTTTTTGTTCCCCTTATCTTTTCCAATGTCCATTATCTCTGTCTAAAAAGCCAGGAAAACTTCCTGGGGATGCAGACTCTGTCCCCCGGTATGCTCACTAAGCTGCAGCTTGTTAGCCTGGACTGTTTTATTTACCTTACATATAAGTGTACTTTCATTGACCTCTGTCTATAATCCAGACAGACAGACAGGTAATACCACATTCCTTTGTGTAAGGAAGACTGGACCCATTCAGTGCCTCCAAACCACATGTCAAGATCATATACCCAGCATACATACATAACTCTTTATACCCAACCCACACATACACACAACATTTCTGAACAGACATCACCAGTTTACATATGGGATCTTTGGATACATATTATGACAACTGTGTTGGGATCAGTGAGTGTGTCAGGCCTGATAAGGGTTACAGTATGGTGGGCCCTCTGCCAGTTTGCATTGAGGGGTTTTCACACATCTCAGCTGAAGACATTATTAAAGACTGCACTGAGGGAGTATGGACTACCACTACTTGACAAACTGAATTATTTCTTAATATTTAGATTTAGTTGCATCTTTCATTTTCTGTTCAACTAGTACTTAAACCAGGCCCTTTCATTAAAGCATTAGATAATTATTTATTTTAGTAACCAAAGAGTCAGGTTTCACTCAAGTCCCATCATAATTAAGTTTAAATATGTAAACAAACAGCTTACCCTTTCTTCACTCTTGCAAAATCAAATGCCATTTGTCTGTAGGAGAATGCTTTTTCATTCAAGTATCTACTGTAACGCCTTATGAAGGTAGACATATCATATCCTGCAATAAAACAAAGTTACATATTTTGTTAAACCGGACTGGTGTAATTGTTTATAACGATACTTATCCATTTGCTAAAACTGAAAAACGGCACATTGCATTTTAAAGTTACCATTTACATTCTATGCAAAATCTACTGAGACTAGACATAGCCTTACATACGAAAAAGTGACACTTCAAACGTAGGAAGAATTCTCAGTTTTGAAAATTTCATTGAACCCCATCAAATAAAGGTAAAAGTAAAACAAAACAAAAACAGTTCTTCGTACAAGAATCACTGCTCACTAGCTAAGCAACAGCACAAGCCAGACTAGATGTGGAAGTCAGCTCTATTTGTTTATATATATATATATATATATATAAAAAATAAAATAAAATAAAAGTTCTGAATCAGTGGATTTACATGCTTTTATGTTACTTGGTCTTGTGACCATAATTGAAAACCATTAGCAAGTGTCACTAGTTTTTGACCATTCACCATTGGAAACGTCTCTAGTAAGAAAATGTCTTTACTGGATGTGCTCCTGCACAGATGGGCATTTTGAACCATAGTCACTTGTAAAACTCCTCTATGAAATGCTTGTTGGATGACATGTTTAGAAGTTTTCCATGGAGGCACACCAATCACCTTGTATTTCTTCCATCAGACATTATATCCTGTCCTGCTCTTTCTGCAGATCTCATTTACTGTTGTCATAGCTGTCAGACTTTGATTACACAATTAGTTTTGTCACATCCTCTTAGAACCTGCCTTAAGAATATAGCCAATTCATCAAATGTGTGGAATTTGTCTCCAGCCATGGCCCCTCTGATGTATACTGTGGTTTCTTTGTTGAATGTTCTTAGGCCTGGTCTACACTATGAGTTTAGGTCGACTTTAGCAGCGTTAAATTGAATTAAGCCTGGACACGTTCACACGATGAAGCCCTTTCCTTTCGACTTAAGGGGCCCTTTAAACTGGTTTCTTTACTCCACCTCCGACGAGGGGATTAGCGATAAAATCGGCCTTAGCGGGTCGGAATTCGACGTTATTGGCCTCCGGGAGCTATCCCACAGTGCTTCATTGTGACCGCTCTGAACAGCGCTCTCAACTCAGATGCACTGACCAGGTAGACAGGAAAAGCCCCGCAAACTTTTGAATTTCATTTCCTGTTTGCCCAGCGTGGAGAGCACAGGTGACCACACAGAGCTCATCAGCACAGGTAACCGTGATGGAGTCCCAGGATCGCAAAAGAGCTCCAGCATGGACCGAACCGGAGGAACGGGATCTGCTCGCCATATGGGGAGATGAATCAGTGCTAGCTGAACCCCGTAGCAGTAAAAGAAATGGCAACATATTAGAAAAGGTCTCCAAGGCAATGAAGGACAGAGGCCATAACAGGGACG